GTCACGTTGGCAGCATGTGCCTGTGAGGTAATGCAATGTGAATGGCACCTTACCTCTGTGGTCTCCTCCCCAGAATTCACAACCCCAGCCTAATCATGAGAAAAACATCAGACAAACCCCAACTGAGGGACATTCTACAAAATACCTGACCGATAGTCAACTCTGTCAAGGTCATCAAGAATAAGAAAAATCTCTGTAATCCCAGCACTTTGGGAGGCTGAGGCGGGTGGATCACGAGGTCAGGAGATCAAGACCATCCTGGCTACATGAGTGAAAACCGTCTCTCTAAATACAAAAAACTAGCCGGGATGGTGCGGATGCCTGTTGTCCAGCTCTACTCGGGAGGCTGAGGACGAAGAATGAGTGAAACCGGCACGAGGAGGAGCCCTTGCAGCGTCGAGCTGAGATCCACCTGTACTCCAGCCTGGGCGACGAATGAGCGACTCTGTTCAAAAAAAAAAAAAGAATAGAAAGTAAAACTGTTACTCTGGGCACGAACCTAGGAGATGTACAACGAACTGTAATATGTCCCTGGGTGGAGGGTTCTTGGAAAGAAACGAATTAGGTAAACTAAGAAAATCTGAAATAGAAGGAAATGGCTCTTATTAAAAATATTCAGACTGGTCAATAAGTTGTAACAAAGTACTGGACTGAATTACATGGGTATGTATGTATCGATCAATCTAACAGATGTGAAACAACCTGTATTTTTTCAAGTTATCCATAAATCCTAAAACTAACCCTAAAACGACAAGCTTATTAAGAGTCTAGGTTGAGAAATGGTGCAAAGAAGTGGAACGAATGCTTCACCAAAGGGAGATCTATGGCAGGCAATAGGCAAATGACAAATAGTGCTCAAAGTCATTAGTATTAGGGAATGCAATTAGAAACCCACATATGTTATCTGACATGCACCCTCTTAGAAGGGCTAGAAGAAAAATTCTGAGCATTAATAAAAGAGACCAGAAAGTTGGCCGGGCAGTAGCTCAAGCATGTAATCCACCAGCACTTTGGGAGAGGCCGAGATGGGCGGATCACGAGGTCAGGAGATCGAGACCATCCTGGCTAACCCGGTGAAACCCGGTCTCTACTAAAAAATACAAGAAAAAAACTAGCAGGGCGAGGTGTGGGCGACTGTAGTCCCAGCTACCCGAAGGAGGCTGAAGCAGGAGAGTGGCGTGAACCCAGAGGCGGAGCTTGCGTAGAGGAGAGATCTGGCCACCGCACTCCAGCCTGGGCGACAGAGGGAGACTCTGTCTCAAAAAAGGAAGAAAATCCTGTCACATGCTACAGCTGCAACATGGATGAACCTTGAGGCCATTATGTTAGGTGAAATAAGCCAGTCACAAAAAGACAAATACCGCATGATTCCATTTATATGAGGTACCTAGTGTAGTCAAACTCATCAGCATAGAAAGTGGAATGGCGGTTGCTGGGGGCTGGAGGAAGACAAAAGGGGGAGTTGTTGATCAATGTGTGTAAAGGTTCAGTTTTGCAAGATGAAAACATCCTAGAGATCTGCTGCACAACAATATGAACATAGTTAACACAACTGAACTACGTGCTTAAAATTTGTTATGTGTTTTTTTACCACGATTAAAATATTTGTGGATGTATGTTAAACATGCATGTACCACGCAATCCCGTCATTCCATTTCTAGGTATTTACCCAAGAGAAATGAAAGCATATGTCCACACCAAGACTCATGTATGAGTGTTCACAGCAGCTTTATCCATAATAGCCCAAATCTGGAAATGACCTAAATGTCCATCAATAGGGGAATGGGTAAATGGGCTGTGGCATATGCATACAGTGGTATATTCAACTCTTTTGGTAGGTGAGCTGTGGTACATTCATACAGTGGCACGGAACGTAAAAAGGAACAAACTATTTATACATTCAACAACATGGATGAATCTCAAAATAATTATGCAGAGTGAAAGAATTCAGATTTTAAAAAAAGAGTTCACATTGTAGTGAATTAATCTGTGATGGCAGAAAGCAGATCGGGGTTGCTTGGGAAAGGCAGGGGGTGAGGGAAGGTGGGAGGGATCATGAAAGGGCATGAGGAAATTTTGGGGATGACGAATTATTCACTATCTTAATTGTGGTGATGGTTTCACAGGGGTGTGTGTGTGTGTGTGTGTGTGTGTGTGTACAGAGAGGGAGACACTTACCAAACTGTGAGAGGGAAGAAGGGAGTCGGGGAGGAAGGCGGAAAAGAGGTTTGGCCAGGCATGCCTGAATGCCGGATGGATATTTTAGACATGGCATCCTCTGAGCTCCAACCTCACTCAGCACCCACGTTCATACATCTGTGTGGGGAATGCGGATTTTCAAGCACGCCAGCGGGCACTGCCCTTCCCTTTGGCAGGAGGCCGCTGCCAGGATGGGCCAAGTGTAGAGAGAGTGGCTTGCCTGGCAGCAGGAATAATTAATTCTCCTCCCTTGGGAGGGAGGAGAAAGAGGTTTTGAGAATGTGAGCTAAGGAATGGAGGGTGACACCTTTTGGGGTGTAGTTTCCTACTGGAGGTGACCCCCCACCCAGAAAGCAGCCTGAGGGAGGCCAGGCGGACTCCCATTTTCTGTTCCCAAATGGCAGGTAGGGATAAGGGTGTGGCTCTGGAGACCAACTGCAATTTCTCAGTATGTGTCAGTAGTTCCTGTTCACATCTGATGCAGGGAGAAAAATCCACTCCCACCAAATCCAAGAGGACTGAGGTGGTGGAGGTGAAATCTGCGCTGAAAAAGCCGTGCCGTACACTGGCAAATTGGAAGAGGAAGCAAAAATAGTTGGTAGTCAGCACGAGACCACTTCTCCCTTAGGAGTTGTATCTGTTCCTACTTGGAGTGATTCCAGGGCCATTGAAGAAACCTGCCCCCATCCATATACTGGCTCAATTTTGGGGGCGGATTCCTGAAGTGCCACCATCAGGTTTCACCCAGCAGTAGGCTGGACTGACCGTGGCTAGGACTCAGCACATCTCATGAAAGCTACCATTTATTTGAGCATTGTGCTAAGGTCTTGTGGCTTCGCTCCTTTAATCTTCGAAAAAAAACCATAAGGTTCCATGATTAGGCCCCTTTTACAGATGAGGAAACTGAGGCCCCAAGGAGATTAATTACCTGCTCAAGATCACACAGTTAGTAGGTGTCAGGAGCTAGGATCTAAACCCCCTTTTTCATAGATTAGGAAACCAAGCCTTAGAGAGGGGAAGCGATTATCCGGAGGTCACACAGCTATGGGTGAGGTGGGGGCCTAGAGCTACTTGCCTCTAGAGCCCAGGTTTTCTCCATCCTGCTCTCCTATCTGTCCAGCCTGTCCACCCCCCTTGTTGGGAGAAAGGACCCAGGAGAAAGCAGAGACAGGATAAGGGGAGTTTGGGAAGCAGGAAGGAATTTTGAAGAGGGGAAAAATAAGTGAACACCTCCTAGGAAGAAAATCTCATCCAACCCCTTAATCTCACCCACAGAGTATTTTTTAAAGCTACATACACAAAAAGTTTACCACAGAATTACTCATAATCACAAACATTTGGAAACTCAAAGGAATGATCAAGCAAATTTTTCTGTACAGCTATGATGGAATATTATACAACTGCCAAAAAAGACAGTCACAAAGACGTGTGGCAACAAGGAAAATGCTTCTGATGTAACATTAGGTAAACCCTTTGATCTAGTGATCCTTTTTTCTGAAAATAATTGATTCTAAATATGGCAAAGCTTTTGTTGATTTCTTTCTTTTTTTAAAGACAGGGTCTTGCCTGTAATCCCAGCACTTTGGGAAGCCCAGAAGGGTGGATCATGAGGTCAGGAGATCGAGACCATCCTGGATAACACAGTGAAACCCCATCTCTACTACAAAAATACAAAAAACTAGCCGGGTGTGGTGGCGGGCGCCTGTAGTCCCAGCTACTCGGGAGGCTGAGGCAGGAGAATGGCGTGAACCCAGGAGGCGGAGCTTGTGGTGAGCTGAGATCCGGCCACTGCACTCCAGCCTGGGCGACAGAGCGAGACTCCTTCTCAAAAAAAAAAAAAAAAAAAAAAAAAAGATGGGTCTCACTCTGTCGCCCAGAGTGGAGTGCAGTGGTGCAGTCATGGCTCACTGCCGCCTTGACCTCAAGTAGCTTGGGCTATAAGCATGTGCCACCATACCCAGTTAATTGTTTAATTTCTTGTAGAGATGGGAGTCTCACAATTGCCCAGGCTGGTCTCAAATTCCTGGGCTCAAGTGATCCTCCTGCCTTGGCTTCCTAAAGTGCTGAGATTACAGGCATGAGCCACCACATCCAGTCTTGTTCATTTCTTGTAACAAAGATGTTTGCCATGGAGTTAGCACATAAAAGACATGTCATTGGAATTGTTTCTTCCACCCTGATAAAGCACAGAGAATATATAGGTGGAGGGACCACCATTCCAAACCTACACAGGGCAAAGGCTCTTCTCTGTGATTTGCTGGTCACTCAGAGTCTTACGCAAATATAAACTAGTGACATCAAGTTCTACCTTAATAATGCAATTTTACTGGAAAGAGAATAAAGTGGAAGAGAATGAAATGACATGAAAATGGAATTCTCCAGGGAGATCTGAACTCTGGATTTCCTAAATAGAGTTTTTACATTCATAAACATACATGTACAACTGTCCTAGACACTGTGCCCTTAGTTAACCCCAAAGCCCCCTTTACATGGAGATCCTATTTTCTAGACCCAGCGGTCTGGGCTGGGTGATGCAGCCTGTTAGATCCCCACCCCCATTTCCAGCTCTCCCAGGTGAAGGGCATCTCCAGGTCACAAATTTGGGGGGAATACCCCTCCACTCAGCCCTTCTACTGTTTGAACTGTCCCTACCCTCCAACACTGCCCTTGCCTGGGGCCCCACCGGTACTTACTCAGTCGCCTCAAGTACAAAACTGCATCCTCGTACCCTCGGTAGTAGTAATCGTGCAGGATCTGGGGGCGGGGCACCGGGAGAATAACCAAGGCTGTGGTGATGAAGGGAGCCACAGTTCCCCCGACCCAGGGCTGCTACTCCCATTGCTCTTGAACTTTATTTGATGGACTTTTCAAAACGTACCCATCCAGTGTCCCATCCCTCACTATCTACTAAGAAGAATTGGGGAGCGATTCCTGGTCACACGCCCCAGTGATGCTGCGTTCATGCGTGACACTATTCATGGTGGATCCTCAGCCTCCCCTGGGCGGGAAAGTGTTGGGTGCTCATGGCAGAACCAGATGAGGTGCATTGGGGCCATATGAAGAGCAAAGTTTGGAGCCTGAGTTCAGGTCTCTGGGCTGCCCCTTATTGGCTGTGTTGCTCTCACCTCTCACAGCCTCAATTTCTTCATCTACAAAATGGGGACAGCAATAATATTGGTCACAAAGGATGCTAGAGGATTACATGAGGTATTGCCCACAAAGCCTTTTCTGTAAAGGGCCAGATAGTAAATACTTATTTTGGGCTTTGCTGGCCACATGCAGTCTCTGCCTAATGTTCTTTTTCTTTTTCTTCTTTTTTTCCCCCATAACTCTCTAAAAATGGAAACCCCTTTCTTAGCTCACAGGCTGTACAAAAACAAGCCATAGGCTGGATATGGCCCGTGGGCTGCAGTTTGCCGACCCTTGCTTTGGTACATGAACTGTCTGAGTGGAAGGGTTCAGTTAATATTTCTATCAGCACTTCTGACATCATCTCGCTTTACAGGGGAGAATATTGAAGGCGGAAGAGCTTAAGGCACTTGTTCAAGGTCACATAGCTAGTTAGAAGCAAGGCCAGTAGGCAGGTCTAGGAGGAAGTTTAAGGGATCATTTGAGGGGAGGAGACTCAGATGGAACTTGAGCGGGCCCCAGTGGCTCTCTAACCCCACCCCTAGTCCCTGGTACCTTCCCCTACTCCCCAGACCCCTGCTGCCTCTCACCACCAGGTCCGGGGGGAACAATGCGTGGGTCATCCTGGCGATGTTCTCCAGGGAGAACTGGAAGGAGCAGTTGAACATGCGGAAGTCGTGGAAGATGGCGGGGCAGTCCCGGGGACAGATGTCCTGCTGCCCACTGAAGGTGGAGATGGTGATGGCGTCGGTCCAGAAGGCGCAGGGCTGCATGCCTGTGAAGCCCCCATCAATGTACCTCTGTGTGGGACAGAGTGAGAATTGCTCACCTGGGGCCAGAGTTCTCAGCCCCACTCGGAGTACCTCGAAACGGCCCATGGGACATGGTACCAGCTTCAAGGGCCCATCAAGGAAGGTCCAGAAGACCCTTCGGGATAAGCCTGGAGATGGAGGTCCTGGTGGGTGTGTGGTGTGCCCCTGGTCACTTGGTGAGTCCGCACTGGCCTCTGGACTCCCAGCCTGGTGCTCTGTCCTGCACTGATCCTCCCTCCACTATCTTAGTGGCACTGAGACTGGGGCTCCCAGGGCTCTGTGTGCAGGGGACCCATACTCTGGGTAAAGCAGGAGACGTGCCCCTCTGCCACAGCCCCACCACCTGTTCACCCACGAGCCCCGTCCTTTCTGGGGCTTCTGTTTTCTCACCTATGAATGAAGGATGACAAATACTGAGGCTCTAACTCTCAGGCTGGCTGACGTGCAATACAGTAGTAGATGGAATCTACTACCTGAATCCTAGTCTCTGGCCCTAACTTTCTCTGCATATAAAATGAGGAAGGGGCATGAGCTAGACCATCACTACTCAGAGTGTGGCCCACCCACCAGCAGCATGGGCAGCACCTGAGGCTGGTTAGGGGCGGATCCTCAGGCCCTGCCGCAGATCGCCTGGATCAGAACTTGTGTAGTTTTACAAGACCCCGAGTGATTCACGGGCACATTAAAGTCTGTAAGGCCCTGGCCTAAAGGGCCTCAGAAAACATCCTCATCGTTTGAGGTTCCAGGTCCCAGCGCTTCAGGGTCCACCTCCTCTGTTCCGAGAAGTCTGGGAAAGCCTGCCAAGCCTATGGAGCCTTGATTTGCCGGGCTCGGCAGTGGGTAGGCGGATCCAGAGAGGAGCCCACCCCAGCTGGAGAAGTTCATCTTAAAGACCCAGAAAGCCATCTACATTGGGAATTCTGAGTAACAACACAAGAAATTCTCCAACTCTAGGTCCTCCCACTGCATTCTGAGACCACCCTCCTGCTTCCCCAGGTGTGAGTCACAGGGACCCGAGGTCCCCTGGATCCCGGTTCACCCCTCACCATGCTGGAGCACTCACCACACCGCGGTAAGTCGGGGGGATGAGGCCGCAGTACACGGGGACGAAGCAGCTGCAGTATAGGGCCTGTATGGAGAGAACAGGGCTGAGATGCCGGAAGCCCCGGGGGGCGGGGTGGGGACGGCTCGTCTGTCAGCTGCTGGGCCATCACCACCAGGCCGGACCTCCTTAAATCCTAAGTGAAGGTGCCGCATTGGGAAGCAAAGCTCCGAGTTCAATTCCTGGCCTGGTCCTCACTAATGGGGTCCTTGGTAACCTACTTGGTCCGTCTGGCCCTGACATCCCAGCATTAAAGCGGGAGGGGGTCCTCAATAGCTTCAGGGTTCCTTCTGATGCTGAACTTTCATGAATCCAGTGGGATTCAACAACCACTAATGTGTGTCAGCAAAGGAGGCTGAGAGGCCCACCCTTGGGAGTGCCCTACGGGGGGAGTGAGCAAGTGGGTGATGGTGCAGTGGGGTGACAGGGGCTTGGTGGAGGTGAGCATGCGCACTGTGGGTCCACAAGAGGGGTGCAGGCAGGGTGGGAGGGGATGAAGGCAAGTGCCCTGGCAGGAGGGACTGGGTTTCAGCAGCAGGCGAAGCAGCGTAGGAAGGAGGGAGGGGATCCCGGGCAGAGGGAGCGGCAGGTAGGAAGGCCCAGAGGTCTGGCTTTTGTGTGGTTTGCTAGGGTTGGCATGGTAGGAATGGAAGGTGGGGGAGAGGGCCGGGGAGAGAAAACTGCAGCAGTGGGCGATGAAGTCGGAACGGGGGTGGGCGTGAGGAGGCAGATCTGGAAGAGCCGGCTGCTGATAAACCCAGGGGGCCATGAGGAGTGGAGGAGGTGTCCGTGCACACTGCCTATTAATCCCTCATCCCCAGGATTACTGCCAGGCCAGTATGGGATGCAGATGGGAAGGCAAAGGCCCTGTATGTGGGGAAGGAAGGAGAGTGGAGATGTGGGGTGGAGGCCATGCAGCTTGACCCCTTTGTCCCGAAAGACAATGGGACCTATCTGCAGCCCTCTCCAGCAATCATTGTTCATAACTAAAGTTCATATTAATGAGCTTAGGGCAGTGCACTCAGGATTAGCATGCACTTTTCTTTTTTTTTTTTTTTTGAGACGGAGTCTCGCTCTGCTGGCCCAGGCTGGAGTGCAGTGGCCAGATCTCAGCTCACTGCAAGCTCCGCCCTCCCGGGTTCACGCCATTCTCCTGCCTCAGCCTCCGGAGTAGCTGGGACTACAGGCGCCCGCCACTCGCCCGGCTAGATTTTTGTATTTTTTTAGTAGAGACGGGGTTTCACCATGGTTAGCCAGGATGGTCTCCAATCTCCTGACCTCGTGATCCGCCCGTCTCGGCCTCCCAAAGTGCTGGGATTACAGGCTTGAGCCACCGCGCCCAGCCTAGCATGCACTTTTCTAAGTGATAACTGATTTGGTAGCAATTCAATCCCTTATCAAGGGCCACTGGAAGTGAGGGGGCAGAAAGGGGGCATGGGGGCCCATCTCCCCTGACTGTTCTCACAAACTGTGAGTAATTCAGAGAGGACACAGGGCAGCCCAGCCTGGAAGGCCCTGAAAGAGCCCTGGGCCCTCTGCAGGTCACACCTGGGCCTCTGGGAAGCTTCAGGCTTAGCACAGAGGGCCGGACAGGACGGACGTGAAGGCCGAAGCATTGAGGGTGGTGGTCAAGCCTGGTTTGTCCTGGGCTTCTGTGTCCATCTCATCTAACACTGCACCTTGCACAGGGAGACACTGGGGGCATGAAGCAAGGGAAGGACTAGGGAAGTGAGGCAGATGGGTGAGGCATCGGGCTGGGTGGTGGAGAGAGAGCAGGAGCAGCCCTCCCACACCCCCTCTTTGGCCCTCCCTCCCTCCCAGCCCCCTTGCCTCAATGAGCTCCTCCTTGGACGTGAACTCTGAAACCACCACACTCTCCCCATCCGTGAAGCGGGTGAGGCTCACATGGAGCTTTCCCGTGGTGACCTTGTAGGAGTCCTCGGGCAGGACCCGGTACAGAAACTGCCTCATCATCTGCACCATCTTGCAGGACGGGGACAAGGGCCCCAGGAAGGATTTCTTCACCTCGGCCACACCCACATTGAGGACTCTGAGGTACTCATCTGCGAAGGAAGCAGAGAAGAGGGGGTGGTCGGCGCCACCCAGTGGCCAGGGGCCAAGGGAGGTCTAGGGTGGTTTCTCCAACTCATCCAACAAATGGGGAAACCTAGAATTCGGGAGCTGGGAAAGCCCCAGGAATCGGCCTGCTGTCCCACACATGAGGAAAGCAAGACACTGAGGAAGGAAGTCGCTGGCTCCAGAGAGCCCAGAGCTAGGCGATGGTGGAGCTGGACCCAGGCGTCCTGACCTTTGTCCAGGAGTCGCTACGTGACAGACACCTTCTTATCAACAGCTAAAGGAACACTTTACCCCAACCCCAAATAGCTTTCCACAACTTCTTGTCACTCTGCCTGGAAGTCCACTGCCAGACCACAGTTCTGGGATCCTGTATGAGATTCCTATGAAAACACTGGTGCAGTTGGAAGCTGTTCCCAAGTGATGCCCTGGGATACTTGCTTTGTGCCCATTGAGTCTGTGGGCAGGGAGGGGGTGCTGGCCTTGGCCCGGTGAATCACGTGGAGGAGGTGAACTTTGTCTTGAAACCATTGCGTCACCTTTCCTTTATGGCCCTGGTCCAGGTCTGAGAGGGAGATGACCCTGAGATATGGAGTATGTAAGGCTCACCTGTGCCATGTGCTCAGAGGGCAGATGTGCTATTCAGGGTGGCAGAAGAGGGTGTAATGTTCCCCACCCCAAGTCCCCAGAATCCCACCAGGGAAGTCTGTGTTGTCAGCTTAATAAGAAGTGATAACTTGCTTAATTCCCACAACAATACTGGGAGATAGGTATTTCTATCTTCCTTTTACTGATCAGGAAACTGAGGCTCAGCTAGGTAATATAACTTTCCCAGGGTCAGCGTCAGCCAGTTAGTAAGTGGATAAAGTTAGCATTTCAACCTAGGTTGTGTGACCCCAGAGCCTGGGCTCCTTCTACTACGCTAAGCCAAAAGCTTCTTCTGGAGCTGAGCCCACACCTACTTTTTGCTGACCACTGCTCATCTCTACCCTGTGCAAGCCTTTGGGAAAATCAGGAGTGAAGATAGCTCTGGAAAGGATTGCTAACTTTGTTAAACAAACATTTATTTGTAAAACATGCTGTAATACGCTATAGTGAAGAACTTTCTTATAGTTAGTGTCATGTAGCAATGGCTACAAGGGAAGCTGTGTGGTCATGAGTTTTCCGCCATGGGAGGTAACCAGGCAGAGGCTGGATAAGTACCTCTGTCAGAGAGTTTATCAAAAAGATTCCTGCATGAGTGGTAGGGCTAAGATTCCTTCCAGTTTTGAGATTCTGGGATTCTCACAGGCACCTCGCAATACATCTGGGAAGTAATCAGTGTGCCTTACTCGCCTATTTATAAACAGAGCAGCTGAGACACAGAGCGGTTAAGTGATTTGCCCAAAGTCACATGGCAATTTGGGGACAAGCCAAAACTAAGGATGCCCTACTCCTCTTGTATTTTACAGTTTACAGATTATTCACCCCAGTCCTGGAGGTAAGATAAGAAGCTTCAGCACCATTTTACAGATGCAGAAACTCACACAGAGAAAAGGTAAGTGTCTTGCCTGAGGTCAGGCAGCCAGGCAGTAATTTTTCTGACTCCATACCCCACCTTCTTTCCCTGGGATTTGGACTGATCTCAGGAATGAAGAGGCTGAGCAAGCCTGGGTTGCCATGGTGACAGCCTTTTTTTTTTTTTCTTCCAACCTTCAGAATTACACCTGCTTATGTGTAGTAGGGACCGCCCTAAGCAATGGAGCATCATAGCTGTTACCCTCCTACAGGGGAGGGTGCTCCTGGGAGGCAGAAAGGCCCTACAGTTTTAGTAAGGTTAGACTTACCATGTGCCAACAGTGGTAAACAGTGTCTGCCCTCAAGGGAGGGCAGAGGCTAACCCACTCACAGGTGATGCAGCAACTGCTCATTTGGATACCAAGGTGTTGGATCACTGAGGTCTCGCCCATAAGACCAGCCGGGATGGGGAGTCAAGCCGGGGCAGGGAATTCTTAGTGAGCAGCTTAACACCTTGCAAGGGTCAATGGCTTTTCCCATGATGCCTGGGAGCCAGGAACGCCTGATCTCCCAGCAGAAGCCACCCCTGGGAGGGAAGCAAGGAAATTTGTTCTTATTACAAAACTCAGACATGCTCATTATGGAAAAACTTTTAAAAATGCAGATAAGCAGAAAAAAAATTAAAATGTCTTAGAATCCCTCCTCCTAGTGACTAACATTTGGTCTGTCTCCTTAAACTATGTATTTTATTTTTATTCACACTTATAAAGGGTCATACAATACATACTATTTGTAATTTGCTTCTTTCACCTAATCTGTTGTGAATGTTTTTCTAGGTCAACAAATATTCATTTATAACCTAATTTGTTTTTTCAAATAAGGTTTTGTTCTGTCACCCAAGCTGGACACCATGATAGCTCACTGCACCCTGGAATGCCTGGCTCAAGCAATCCTCTCACCTCAGCCTCCTGAGTAGCTGAGATTACAGGCATGTGCCACCATACCCAGCTAACTTTTTTATTTTTGTAAAAATAGGATCTCATTATGTTGCCCAGGCTGGTCTTGAACTCCTGGTCTCAAACAATCCTTCCACTTTGGTCTCCCAAAGTGCTGGGATTATAGGCATGAACCACTGCACCCAGCCTATACTCTAATATTAAAAGCAGTATGGGAAACTGTTGTAAGGTTATACCACTATTTATTGATCAGGAAACCAAGAGTGGTTAGCTATTTAGTTTGTTTCATTGCTTTTCTAAATAAATGATGCAATGAACAATCTCATGCTAACTTCTTTATCCATATACTTATTTTCCTTAGGATAAATTCCTAGAAGTGAGAATGCTAGGTCAAAGGCATGCATATTTAAAGTCTTATAATGTTTACTTTAATGGTGGCTTTAGTATATTATTCATCTACAGTCAACTCACCTATTCAGTGGTGGGAGTGGGTGACAGGAACAAAACATGGGACAAAATAATGGAAACAGTGTCGACATTCCAAAGTACTGACATCTGAAAATGGTGCTATCTGGAAATTAGCAATGCTCTAGCCAGTCATGTAGCCTGGGAGGAAGAGGGCAGGAAGTTGTCTGATTCTCTCAGTCTAGCTCTGCTGCTGCTGGCTGAAGCCACACACCAAAAGATACTGTTAGCTCTGCATCTTCTTAGTTCTCTCCAAGTGTGTGTGGGGGGGGTGGGGGTGGGGGGGGTGTGTATGTGTGCGTGTTCCTGTCTGTCTTCAAACTCTGTCTTTCTCTGTGTCTCTCTTTGTCTCTGTCTCTGTCTATCTCTCTCCTTTCTCTCTCGCCCAGCAACTAATCTGGTTAAACAAATCTATGCTGGTAGAAAGTTAAGTGTTAAGCACAGCAATTGCTGGGTGCTGAGAGAGGGGATAAATTTAGCTTACTTCTTTATGTATTACCATATTTTCCAGCACTTTCTCCCATTTAAAGGCCTCCTTCCGAGCTGCATGCTGCCAGGCTCTGAGACACAGAGTCCCATACTAACCACAGCAAGGTTATTAGAAGCAGCACCGCAGACCCAATGTGTCCTGATCAGGGTACTCAAGGTTGACTGTTCCCACTCCTCAGCCCATCCCTAGGCACATCCACTTCTGCTCAGAGGAGGGGTTTCTCTGAGGGCAAATCTGGTTCTCCTCCTCCTCTCACAATAGCCTATCACTGAGCTTTGCCCATAGGAAGGTCTTCAGAAACCTCCCCTGAGGGCTGGAAATTCCTCCAGGGCAGAGATGGGCCATAATCTATGCCCATCAAGCCTCTCAGTATGTGAACAAAGGAATACAAAAAGCAATGGAGATGCCCCCAAGGAAGAGCTACTTGACTTAATTACCCAATAAAAGCTTGAAGGCAAGATCATCCCAGATAGATGGGTAGACAGCAGAGTTAACAATATTGATTAGTGTGGTCAGCTCACCAGGTTTTATGAGTCTAATGTGCCAAGAAAAATAAGTAAATAAGATGCTGGGTCAATGCTGGGTGTGGTGGTTCATGCCTGTAATCCCAGCACATTGGGAAGATGAGATGGGAGGATCGCTTGAGCCCAGGAGTTTGAGACCAGCTCTGGCAACATAGCAAGACCCCTGTCTCTACAAAAAATAAAAATAATAATAATAAAATTAGCCAGGCATGGTGGCATGCTGCTGTCGTCCCAGCTACTTAGGAGGCTGAGGTGGGAAGATCACTTGAGTCTGGGAGATGAAGGCTGCAGTGAGCCATGATTGCACCACTGCACTCCAACCTGGATGACAGAGTGAGACCCTGCCTCTAAAAAATAAAATGTAAAAAGATGTTGAGACCGGGAGATTTTTGAAGGGCACTTGGAAGCTATATTTCCAAGTTTCAGCCACTCGGAGAGTCTTTCTTTTTTTAATTTGATTTAAATTTTTTTTTAGAGACAGGGTCTCACTCTGTTGCCCAGGCTCCTCAAAGTATCCTCCCACCTCAGCCTCCTGAGTAGCTGGAACTACAGGCATGTGCCACCATACTGGATAATTCTTTTTATTTTGTAGAAACAGGGTCTCTAGCCCTGTTGCTCAGGCTGGTCTCAAACTCCCTGGCTCAAGCAATCCTCCCACCTCAGCCTCCCAAAGTGCGGGGGTTACAGGCATGAGCCACTGTGCCCAGCTGATCAAAGAGTCTTTCCGTGACCACATCCATTTCTTGGAAAGAGCTTAGGCTTTGGAGCCAGGCAGATTTGGTTCAAATCCCAGCTTCACCACATGCTATCCAGATCATCACTGGCCACTTAAATAACATCTTTCATCCTCAACTTTGTTGCTTGTAAAATTAGTCTAAGAATACCTACCTTACTGGATTATGAAGAGGCAGACAGCTTTTAAAGTGCCTGCACACAGTAAATGCTCAAACATTGGGTATGGCAATCATTCCTTATGTGACAAGGTGTTTGGATGTTTCGGACTCTCAGCCTACTCATCTGAACAGAAGACAGTGATCCCGGCCCCCACATCCTTA